ATATATTAGTCTTATTAATATACAAATAAAAACAGAATATTTAGCACTAGATAAAATAAGTAATGGATTTATTTATTTTTATTTTTTTAAGAAAGGGCTGAAAGAAGAAATCCTGTGTGGCAGCACTTTATACAGCCTCTTCAGACAAGGCTTAGTCAATAAATGTTTTTTTTAGTTTGTTTTGTTTTAAATTAAGACTTGTGTAACATTTGTTATCATTCTTATTTTTATCATGTTAATGGAGGGAGGAAGAAAAAGTAGTATCGGCTTCAAGAATTGGCCAAAAAATATCGGCTGCAGTGTTGTTTTTAGTCACTCTGTATTTATGGTTTTTTTTTTCATTATTCAAAATACTGTGTGTTAGATGAGTTTTAATGGTGCAACTTCAAACTAACATGTAATAGTCTTTTATGCTTTTTTAACCAGACTGTACCTGGCTGCAATGCATTTCAATGAAAACGCACGTCTGCAGGCAACTACCTCATCTGGAGAGCCCATGTAGATTATTCTTTCCCAAGTTCAAGAAGGGAGAAGGCACAGCAAAGCCTATCAGAACTCCTGAAACCCTAAGTAAGTCTTACCACATTAGTCACTTTTAGTATGCCAACTGGATTTCAATAAATCAAAAATCATCCATACTTTAAATCTCCCTTATTCAAAGTCGTGTCACAAGGGCATGTGATGTGTGAAAGTGTTGAAAGAGAAACTTTTCCTCACAATGTTAAACAAAAATTACAAAAATAAGTGACACTTTACTGTTTKTACTATGCAAAGACTGTGTACATTTTAATGCTGTTGATGTTTTCCAGACTGCGCTGTGGATTCATCTCCAGTTGTCCCAGACAAGGCCAGCATTTCCACACCACCTCCTGATGCATGCGTCTTCACTACACGTCCTGATGCACGCGTCATCATTACACGTCCTGATGCACGCGTCATCATTACACGTCCTGATGCCACATCTTCACACCACCCTCTGCACCACATCTGAACTCAGTCCACACCCAGTGGAAGGACCCTTCACAACAGGATCACACATACTTCCACACATCTCGCAGAAAGGACCTGCAGGACAAGATGACTCAGTGTGATTAGGTTGCATATTTGTGACCCATCATATCAAAATGAGGATTAAGTCGAATTTGGTCAAAATGACCTAATTACATTTTCAGATTCTTGGCTTTAAAAGCTACATTTTGATACCTGGATCATTCTGATATCTTAATTAAATCCATATATATGACTTAATTTGTCTTGTTGGTTACAATAATACATAAATATTTGGCCTGAATCCTAATTTTATGTCATTTTAATGAGGAATTTTTGAAGTCCTTTTAAAGAGGAAACCTCAAATTTTATTTGAATATTGAGATTTCCCAGCTTAAAAAAACAGCACTTTGCTAGCTCACAGGGAAAATATTAAACATTTAAGGCATTTTTCCTCAAAATCAGTTTTTTTTGCTACTGTTCAAAATAGTGCTCCAAAATTTTGTTTTATGATTATATTTCAGACAGTTCATTCAATTGATACATTGATAAGGCTTTTATTCATTATATTTTGACAAAATGCAATTTTTGTTAACATTTTAGTCAAAACACTATATTTGCCTATTTCTCCATATACCACTTTTGGACTTAATCCTCGTTTCGATGTGATGGGTCACATTTCATTCTACAAAAAAATTCAGGATTTTTTACTGTGTTCTGTGCACTTTTAAACTTCAATTTTTGTCATAAAAACATTTCACTGCAAGTTGAACTTTGTGTATGTGATCAATTTATTTGATTTGATTGCTCCCATTTTTATCTTCTGTTGCTAACATATTTTATGAAGGCAATGCATTCCACATACAGAAAAAGCTATTGAACATATATAATTTTGTGTTTTAGGTAAAAATGATTTTTATCAAAACCATAAATGTAATTTGGCACTTTTTTATTGTTTATCAAGGAGTAATAAAGTACATAAATTCTTACATTCAATGTTGTCAGTTCATCATCATGTCACTTTCCAATTAGTGTTTTCTGAGAAGGAAAAGTGGCTGAATTTTTGCTTTGCTAACACCATCTCTGAAGTCTTTGTGTGAAAGATGATGATGTGTGTTTGGGCGTACATCTGTCATTAAAGCCCTGAAGTTAGAGTTGAAATGATGCTCTGCCTTGTGGCGTTTGAAATTTGTCAGGCTTAGACGTTTGGGTTCCAGGTTCTTTGCTGTCCCACAGACCTGTGACATACAATATTAGTTACAGTTCCAAAGTAGAATGTGACTGATCATTTAATTATGATTTAAGTTCTGATTTGACARATGGAAATCAATAGGCTAATTGGTAATGAAAAATCAAAACAATTACATTTTATTTGCTTTTTGTACATTTCAAACTAAKAGTCAAGCACAAAAATCCATTTATTTAAAATAATTTCACATCTGTACAGTGAGTGTGAGTATATTGTAGTTGTTCAATTAAAAAATACTTTATTGATCACAAAAGTAAATTATATAATATAATAGTAGTTCAAATGCATGTATTTTAGTTTAGCTATGCTCCCCAGTGTAGGTAAGGACATAGAGTGTGTAAATAAATAAAGCACCCTTGTGACACATTCGTTTGAAGACGTGGTTCTGCAGGTTTGTCATTCTGTGTGTCTTGCACTGGGTCAGACTCTGGCTCGTACATGTAAGGCTGGATTGACAAGTCTGCTGTTGTTGACATCCTTATACTTTCTTGCCATCTGCCATCACTAATATGCACCTTCATTTACATTCATTTTTGTACTGTACTTTACGGTGTATGTATGTAAATAAATAAGCATATGTGTTTATTTATATGTGTATATGTGCATTGGTACATTATTATATATCATGTGTATATTGTGGGATTTTTTTTTTTATCTTTTATTAAACTTTCATTATTCTTCTCAGCCTTTCTTGTATTAAGCTGCAGTAATGTGCAAATTTCCAGACTGTGGGATCAATAAAGTTTTATCTTATCTTGTTTTATCTTAAAAACAGTTTTTAGTCGGTAGATAACTGGGTTTTTGCGATGAAACTACAAATATGGCCGAACAGGGTGGAGTCGAATGCTCAGCGACCTGGAGGGGGCGGGGTGTGACAAATCTCACTTGCATTTAAAGAGACCGCACCAAAACAGCTTGCTCTGAGGTGCAACTCAGAACAGGGGTAAAGCAAGGAAAGCAAGGAGTCTGTGGAGCAACAAAAACGAGGAATTAAGACCAAAGCGTTGCAGTTTTAATTTAAATAGACCATGAGTGAATGATTTAGACGTGAAAAAGAAGGATTTAAAAGCATGATATGATACCTTTAAATTGTTTACAGTTTAGAATATTACAGAAATTTGTGGGGTTGCATGTTTTATTGTCCGTGAGACTTCAAGATTCTCAGATGGACTGAGGTTTGGGCTTTGGTTGGACCAGGTGGTGATAGATAGGCTTCTGCTGACTTGATGACATTCTGAGTATGTTTTTTAATTATCTGAATCATTTGTGCTGAATCAGGGAAACCTCTAAAACCTGTAGGACAGTGGGTCACGGGGGGCAGGGTTGAAGATCTCTAATTCTGGTCCTCCTTTAACCAGTCCATGTTTCTTCTGCAGAGAGTTCAGACTCATTGTCCTGGAAGATGGACCTCAGTCCCTTTCTCAGATCTCTGGAAAACTCCAACAGGTTTTATTTATGATTTTGCGTTCGTCCTTTAACTCTGACCAGTTCTCCAGTCCTGCTGATGGACAAACACCCCCACAGCATGATGGTGCCGCCAGCTGAGCAAGAGTTCCTGGGTCTTCATGGGCTCTTGATTGGTGGGAAACCTTATCACTTAGAGATGTGTTAGTGTTGACTTAGAGGTCTATAAAACAGGTTTACACCCCGTCAACACACACACGCCCTTCTCTATTAAATCCATTAATGTTGTTTATTTAAAAATCATTTCAAATTTCAGACTTTAAGACAACAAAAGTGTAAAGAATGCCAAAGAACCATGAACTCAGCAGAAATAAAACCCAGAAGCTGAAACTGGAACAAAAAGCAGGACTCTGAGCCTTGGTTTTATTTGTACTACACATCTCATTCAGTGAACAATGTGTAACTCAGTATTTCACGTCTCCACTCGTGTTTTGTTGCTTGCCTGTGCTCATCAGGTGACAGGAACAGTGTCGGCAGCACTGGCAGCGCCGGCAGCAGTCGCAGCGCCGGCAGTGGTCAGAGCTCTGAGAGTGGCCACAAACAGAATGGAACCCACAACCGCCACCACCACGACACGGTGAAGGTCAGACAACACCCTGATCACTTTCTACTCTGAACAATTCAAACCATTATTTAGCTGCTTTTTATTTGTTGTAAGAAGAAAAACACCAAACTTTATAATGTTATAATGAATTATAATAAAGAATTATTGTGAAGAATGTCGTAAGGGGCAACAGTTACTTCGGAGGTAGGGAAGTCGTCCTGTAACGTAGGTTGCCGGTTCAAACCCCTGCTCTGTCCATTTCAGTCGCTCAGACACTTCACCCACCTTGCCTGTTGATGGTGGTCAGAGGGTCCGGTGGCACCGGTGCATAGCAGCCCCGCCTCTGTCAGTGAGCCCCAGAGCAGCTGTGGCTACAGTGTAGCTTGCCACCATCAGTGTGTGAATGTGTGACTGTAGAGCAGAGGTGGGGTCACGAGTCACATGACTTTACACTTGACTTGACAAATGTTCAGACTTGCAACTTGACTCTTTTTTCACCAGTGAATTGGGACTTGAACTAATTTACTTGATATTTTAAAGTACATTATTTATAAAGTTTCACTCAACAAACACGACCATCCCTCTGTTGTTCACACTCTGGATGTAAGAGTGTGTGAGCAAATCAAATTAACCAGATTTAAAAACAGAAAAAAAAAAAGAAACCACTCAAGACAAATATGCTTCCAAGATTAATTTATTTTAGGTTCATAAACTATGAAGTACTCAACAAAAAGCAAAGTGCAAAAGGCAAAACCTGCAAGAAAAGAAAAACACAGAGATGGAACAAGTTCTTTGTCGAACATTTGAAGTTGCGTAAAGATCAGTTATTTTCTTTTGCTGATAGATGACTTTATCTAACTTTGTGTTATTTGTTGTTTGTTTGTTGTGATTTGTAGTATTTTCTGGTTTAAATTGATGATATTGTTTGGTTTTAATGTGTGTGCTACTTTTGGTCAGCCTATTACTGTCATTGTGGTTTGAGATAAATACAGATTTAAAAAAGAACACATGGTCTATTTACATTAACATACATGCAGCATTGTTTAAAAAACAAAAGGACTACAAAAGACTTGAAATTTTGAGTTTCAGACTTGGAACTTGACTTGACAGTTTCCTATCTTGACTTGAGACTTGCCTCTGACTTGAGGATAAATACTTGACTGACTTGAGGATAAAGACTTGACTCTGACTTGAGGATAAAGACTTGACTGACTTGAGGATAAAGACTTGACTCTGACTTGAGGATAAAGACTTGACTCTGACTTGAGGATAAAGACTTGATTCTGACTTGAGGATAAAGGCTTGAGACTTGACTCAGACTTTAGGATAAAGGCTTGAGACTTGACTCTGACTTGAGGAAAAAGACTTGACTCTGACTTGAGGATAAAGACTTGACTCTGACTTGAGCATAAAGACGAGACTTGACTCTGACTTGAGGATAAAGGCTTGAGACTTGACTCAGGCTTGAGGATAAAGACTTGAGACTTGACTCTGACTTGAGGAAAAAGACTTGAGACTTGACTCTGACTTGAGGAAAAAGACTTGAGACTTGACTCTGACTTGAGGATAAAGACTTGACTCTGACTTGAGGATAAAGACTTGATACTTGACTCTGACTTGAGGATAAAGACTCGAGACTTACAAAACAACGTCCCACCTCTGTTGTAGTGTAAAACACGGTGGAGTCCATGTACTTGATAAAGCTGTATAAAGGTTCAGACGGTTTGGCCTGTCTATCAGTTGATTCAGTGTTCTGTGTGCAGCTGGCGCCCTCTGCTGGTGAAACTAGAGACCAAAACAAGCACATTAGTGGATCCTCAGGTGAGTCCTTTAGCTTTCTTTTTCTGTTTGAAAATACTTCTTAGTGAAATGATGACACACTCAGCTCATAAGATGAGAGCCTGAATTAAGAAAAAACCTTTCCTAACACTGATGGAGGGTTTTTGCTATAAACTCAACGGAATGTTTGACTTCTTTAGAACGATGCTTCAGACACGTAACCTCAGCTACTTTTCACAAAAGGCCAAAATAAAAAGTCAGACCGAGGCCAAACAAAACATAAATATATCTTTTCTCAACATATCTCATTTAACTCACAGATTATTTACTTTTTTAAATTCTCATACTCATTTTAACACTAATTTCTAATTAACAGAACATAAAAACAGCAATAAGAAACTAATAAAATCCAGGCAAACTGTTACAAATACTTCACAAGAGAAAACAGAGAAATTAATGAGTGAAATCCTTCAGAATGAGACAAACTCTCAGGGCTGAATGAGGAGGACATTAGAGTGAAACTCCTCTTTTCATCCCTGAGAAAAGTTGCTCACACTGATGAATGCCTCACAGCTAGCAGTTCTTTTTCTATAAACCTATTTTAAACCTGAATTAAGAAGTTCAGACTTTATTTTCTCAAACTGAGAAGTAAAACATTCCTGTTTGTAAACAGAATGCACAGTAACAGAGTTTATACCTACAGCCGTTGGTGGGGGGGGGCTGCAGGAGAGGCAGTCTATCCGCGTTGTGGCCAGCATTTATGTTTGAGTTGGTGCTGCATCAGCATTTCAAAGCAGTGGAGGCATCTTCATTGTTTGTTTCAGCTGGATGTTGAGTTGTAAAGTAACTAAGTACAAATACTTTGTTACTGTATTTAAGTAGAAATTTTGGTTATCTGTACTTTACTTGAGTAATTTTTTTTTCAGTATACTTTTTACTTTTACTCATTACATTTTTACACAATTATCTGTACTTTTTACTCACTACATTTTTTAAAGAGGTAAGAAGTAGAAAGTCGTTTATCCTATTTTATTCTGAGTTGTTACTTAAATAAATACTATCCTGATAAATTGTGTCTCCTGGATAGAGTGAATTTAATTGTGGTTGGATGAGAAGTATAAATATATACCATTCTGACACACTATTAACTTGTACACAACCCATCACAGCTGCACGCTGTTAGAAAAAAATATTTTTTGGAGAAGTCACCTCCCAATAAATGTCATTTTGGAAAATCTAACCGCTCACTTTTACTCAGTACTTTTACTTTTAATAGTTAAGTAGATTTTGTGTCAGAAATTTACTTTTGATAGTTAAGTACAAAACATATCAGAAACTTTAAGACTTTTACTCATGTAAGATTTTTAGTGAAGACTTTAACTTTTACCAAAGCATTTTTATGATTAGATACTTGTACTTTTACTCAAGTTTCACTTTGAGGTACTTTATACAACAGATTTACAGAACAGTTTAACTCAATATGAAAGTTTTCCTCTTTATTGATCCAAACATTTTTCCAATCTGCTTAAAGCTATTTTTATTATCATAGATTATAAAGCAACACTCCGTCTGAAATATCACATTTTTCTGTCAGTATTTGTAATTTTAGCACGTTTTAAATCATTATTAACTTATTTAACAAATAGAAAAATAAATAAAATCTCTTCAGCTCATTAAAATACTTTTCTGAAATCTATTTCAACATGTTTGTTCTAATTTGAGTTTATGGTTTGGTTTGTTACCATTCTGCTAATTATTAGCTTTTTGCTACAGTTTTGCAAATTTTAGCTTTTAGTTACTGATTTGTTAAATTTATATTAAGCTAATGGTTTGTTGACTGTATCTTGTGTTCTGGTGTTTCTAACTTTAATAAGTATTTGCTGTACAGCCTCACTCACTTTTGGAACTAAAAGTGAAAAATTCTAGACATAAAAAAACTTGTAAGATGAGTCAATTCTCTGCATCAGATGTGTAATAATTTACGGTCTGTAAGAAAACTCAACTTGAAATCTGTTTGACTTGATTTCTTTGACTCAGCTGCTGGAATAAAACTCTGCTGTGCTTTTCTTTTTCACTTTATTTTTTATAATCATACCTTTTTTATAATCATTTGTAATAAACTTACAAATATGACTATCATACATGAAAAACAAAACAATACAGGTCAGTTTGACAAATATTGTGTAATAACTGGTGTGGTAGATGAGAGACTCTGATCATGAACACAGTTTAGTGATATCCCTGAGCAGATTGTTTTAGATCTAACCAGATTATTTCTTAACACAAGATTATTTTAGATTAAAACTCTGGCATGAAAGGCAGCAAAGCTTTTTCTTTCTAGGTTTTTCAGTTCTTTTTTTTTTTTCTCATATTTTCCTACATCTGTCTTGTTTTCAGGTCAGATTGTTCAGTTTCTCTCTGTTTGTTTATAAAGTGATTTTTCACAACAGAACTTATCTGAAGTTGCTTGATTTTTAACATTAGTTTAAAAAAAGGTACATGTGATGGTTATTAAAATTAAAACTCTTGCTTTTTATAGCAGTTCCTGTCGCATCTCTGTTCTGTTTTCTACTTGAGGAATGTGGGTAAACACAGGAGCAGGAGATCTCAGCTGTTATTACTGGGAGTCCAAAAGGAAATGAGACACAGAAATAAAGCTTACCTCACCAGTGAAACTAATAAAACTACTGTGTTCTCTCAGAAAACCCTCCCTCAGTGCTCTAAAGTCAAATTAAGGTTTCTGAACAACAGAACATGCTGCAGTGTGAAGAGCTGCACATGTTGGAGACTTGTTACCTCAGGGTCCTTCACAAATGTTGAAGCCACGGTCAGATATTTTCTAATCAGGCTCCTATAGGAATATTATAAGCTAATATTTCTTATCTATTGTAGATAGCTTCCTGGATAAACAGATAGTAATTCTGACTAATTTTGTTGAGTCATTAGCTCCTTCATCAGGACGAATATGTTCTTCATACCATACAAAGCCGTACATGGGTCATAGGTACACTGAAAAAACAAACTTTTGGGTGTAGTAACATTTATTTAATTATTATTTTTTTTATTTTACAAAAAAATATCAAAATCTCTAAACTACTAGAATTTACTAAATAAACAGTGCCCATTATATTATATGTCAATATTACTATACAAAAACAGTAAATGCTAATATTATTT